AGCCTTTCTTTCTGTAGAGCAGAAAGTATTCCAGGTTCCCGTTTTAAAACCGTAGAGGAGGAACTTTTATTGAGGCGACCACAATGCCTTTTTTTACGGGACTTCTGTTACCGCACAAGACCTCTTCTGTAAACCCACTCCATTCACAAAGGTCGACACACTATTATTATTGAGCGATTCGACGAAGCATCAATGAGAGAGATTACCGTTCACAATACGCGGGATTATAGTTTACAAATAACGAAACGACCGACTGAGTAGGCTTGTTTTTTTTTTTGTAAGATTAGGACCTCGGTGAAAAATGGTGTTCTGCAAAACTTGGAGGTAAAGAAAAGATTGTTTTTTTAAGAACCAAGAATCAAATACAGAGGTTTGAAAAAAATATATAATTATGTTACATTTGCGTTGATAGCTGTAAAACTCTTATTATATGCTACAAGGTCATACTTAACCCATTATTGATTTCTTATTCCTTCATTCACAGCAGTCATACCTCGAATATTAACCTGACACAGATGTCGCTCAGGTTCGTGTTTTATAACATTCTAAACCACAAACTGAAAAACAGACTTAATTTCACAAATTTTTATGCATTCAAACTGATCAAAATAATAAAAAGTTAAGGTTATTAATAAAGATCTCTCGGTGAGTCAGAGATACGTTTAGAGACTTTTAACGCTAAAATCCAGGGTTTGATTCCCTGCATAGTGCAGAACTCAGATAGTCCATTGCGTGGCTATTAGCCAATACGTACTCTTAATAAAATGTCTGATGATTTTGTGGCTGGTTGTTATTAATAATTTAAGTTATATAGTTTAAGAGACAGTACGTTGTAGATTGAAATTACAAAAACAGATGATAAAATATAAAGTGATCACCGCTGAATCTGGCGACACGTCAATCCGCAATAGTCAGAAAAACAGATGGGGAAATATAAAATGATCATCGCTGGCGACACGTCAATCCGGAATAGTCAGAACAGATGGTAAAATACAAAGTGATCACCGCTGGCGATACGTCAATCCGGAATGATTAGAAGAACGGATGGTAAAATATAAAGTGACCATCGCTGAATCTGGCAACACGTCAATCCGGAATGATTAGAAGAACAGATGGTAAAATACAAAGTGATCATCGCTGAATCTGACAACACGTCAATCCGCAATAGACAGAAGAACAGATGGTAAAATATAAAGTGACCATCGCTGAATCTGGCGACACGTCAATCCGGAATGATTAAAAGAACAGAAGGTAAATTATAAAGTGACCATCGCTGGCGACACGTCAATCCGGAATGATTAGAAGAACAGATGGTAAAATATAAAGTGACCATCGCTGAATCTGGCAACACGTCAATCCGGAATGATTAGAAGAACAGATGGTAAAATACAAAGTGATCATCGCTGAATCTGACAACACGTCAATCCGCAATAGACAGAAGAACAGATGGTAAAATATAAAGTGATCATCGCTGGCGACACGTCAATCCGGAATGATTAGAAGACAGATGGTAAAATACAAAGTGATCATCGCTGAATCTGACAACACGTCAATCCGCAATAGACAGAAGAACAGATGGTAAAATATAAAGTGACCATCGCTGGCGACACGTCAATCCACAACAGTCAGAAGAACAAATGATAAAATATAAAATGATCATCGCTGGCGACACGTCAATCCACAACAGTCATAAGAAGAGATGGTAAAATATAAAGTGATCATCGCTGGCGACACGTCAATCCGGAATATTTAGAAGAAAAAATGACAAATTATAAGGTGAACATCGCTAAACCTGGCGACCAGTCAATCCGGAATAGTTAGAAGAACAGATGATAAAATATAAAATGATCATGGCTGAATCTGGCGACACGTCAATCCGCAACAGAGACTTGTGCATAGCTATCATGGAAGATCGTTGTATCAGTTCTGAATTCAACGGTCAACATAGCAAATAAGGTGCCTCTGATTGTCCGTGCCCCCACCTCACCTGAATGCAAATATATTCTGTCGCCTATGGATATAAATCTGCCATAAGTTACGATTTTCTTCTGTTATCGCCCTCTCGTGATGAATTGATGAAATTCAAATAACACGTAAGTAGGAAACAATATCTTGATATTTTTCTAATAAACACAGCATATAATTATTTACTCGGTTTATTTTACATTAACGTCTCCATTTTCGAGAGACGTTGACGTGCTCCATGTGCTCGCGAGACTTAAGTAGAAAACGTTATCGGACAACAACAACAACAAAAAAATTAATATAAACTATACTTTGGGTTCTAAAGAAATAAATACGGTAGGATACTTCCGAAACTCTTTAAAAACATACTTGATCTACTAAGTTGTTTGTTCAATTCATCTCCCTAATTACATTTTAGTCGTCCAATTTTCACGACAAAATGTCGATAGCAGAACATATAAACAATAAATCAATATTGTAGCACACAGTTCGCTCTGAATTGCAGTAATGTTTAACGGAACTAATCTATGTATCCCAATGTTGACTCATCAATTTATTTTTTAAATGAATAATAAATATATGTAATATCATTACTTACTTATTTATATTGCCAGGTGACGCTAGGAGATTTCTCTGCTATTTGTTAACAACGTTTTCAGTTTGTTTGTTTGTAATTAAGCACAAAGCTACACAATGGGCTATCTGTGCTCTGCCCATCACGGGTATCAAAACCCGGATTCTAGCATTATAAGTCCGCAGACATGCCGCTGTGCCACTGGGGGGGGGGATAACGTTTTCAGAATTGTTATCGTAGTGAAAAATATCATTCGTTTTTGTTGACTGCAGGGCCTCTGTTTTTAGGGGTTTATTTTAAGCTTTTTAAAGTTTTATTTATATAACTTAAAATCGGTGTTGTCGGAGTTTTCGCTTTTAATACTCTAACGAATATACTAATATACCGTAAATATTCTGTACACTAATATTTCTCATGAGAGTAATAACAGGAACAGAACACAGTTCTATTTGTGTTAAAGTTTTGTAAGAGCAGCTAATATCGTGTTGGAGACTAGAAAAACAAACTTACCACCAAGTGCGTATGGAAAGGGTTAATAGGAAAATTTGTTTGTTTGTTTGTAATTAAATACAATTGACAATCTGTGGTCTACCCATCACGGGTATCGAAACCCGGTTTCTAGGGTTGTAAGTTCCCAGATATGCCGCTGTGTCACTAGGGAGCTTCGAACCTAAAAGACATTAAGGTTGCAACAATTGATTAATAATTAAATTATTGAACATTCATTTACGTGAGAACAAATTAGTAGTTTACATCTCGTGTTAAAACATTAAATAAATAACTTTATTTCAGCTATTCACGTAGACTATTAGAAACGATAATTATCACACTTATCTTGTCCTTATCAGTTAAATATCTGATTGTATTTTCCGTAGTTATTTAACATCAATCCAAGCAACCATTCATCACGAGTAGAGTTATCCTAGACATGTCCAGCCAGAAATATTTCGCATCTTTTTGAGATAATATCAACTAAATAACCGATTGACAAAATATGTTCAGTTATTCAGCAATTACTCACGTAACACACAACAGTTTGGACAGCGCCAGCCTCTCAGGACAGCGATCACAGCGACCTCCTTGGAGATCTTCCGAAATTTAAAAGAGAGTAAAAGCACGTGGGCTGGCAGCCTGTGTCGGGTACTGTGAATGAGCCCTGCGTGCCTAAATGTATATCTAGAAAAGCAGGCTGCGCGTGCATTAGACTCCTTTCTAACCAGTCAATCGTAGCGGCCGGATCGTACTTCACACGCCTCAACTCCTTCTGACCTCTGACCTGCGCAGCGACGCGCGCAGCCTTTCGTGCACAACGCGTCCTGAATCTAGCAGGGAACTGGTTCCGTAGGCAGTATGAACGCAGTGAGCTGGAACGTGTCTTGCGCTATTTCCGACTGCTGTTGCTAATTTTTTTTTCTTGGTTGTTTCAGTCAAGGGTTGATTCATGTACTTGCGGCATCAAAAGAAACTCAGCATTTTGACATACTAGAACGACGTATCGTGATGATCAACTAATGAAGTAGTTGAGAATTGATATTCGCATGTCCTACATCAGTTGAGGGATAGAAATACTGATTAACTATGTTCGTCCTTTCGGCAAAAAAACAGAAAAAAAAAAGTAGGCAAGGGAAAACCCCGTTGATCATCGAGCCCTCCTGTGGCGAAAAACAGAAGCACCCACCTTTATTTTAGTAATAAATGTATGATAATTAACCAGGTAAAAACTTGTTTTTATTAGTACTTACAAAATATTTTTCACCATAAAAATGAAAACTTAGATATGATTGTTATTTTTACGTCAATAGTTATGAAAAAAAAATTGGCCTCATATAATCTTTCCGCAAAGATGTGAGTGCACGAAATTATATACTATATAAGTACAAAATTACTTTTTATAAAAATGTTATATTCTTCTTACAGTCACTGCTGTGTATTTACAGAAATTATGATAGACTTTCTACTTTCGAAAAGCATTTCATAAACCTTAAAATATACAGACGAGTTCACGTTGTAAAATAGAACGAGTAAGATAACACTTGTTTTTAGAGAAGTCGTGCGTTGATGGTGCACAAACAGTTCGTTGCGCTAAATTAGACCGCCAATATTCATTTTTCTACGACCTAGGCAACTACGGCCAGTATACGAGCACTGACCGATGGAGTCTGGTCACTTGGTGCAGTAACTGGTTGACAGAGGTGTACAAGTTCATGATGTCGTCAGAAGCCGGGTGGGCGTAACTAACAGCTTTCTCAGGTGCTTCAAGAGAGGGGGTGGGGGTGGAAGGGACCGGGTTAGCTTGGCCACGTTATACTGTTAATACCCTTGGGCACTGAGTTGGGGTGGAGGGCGGGGCTTTGTCTATACGGACAAACGGTTTCAGTACTAAGTTTAGCAATGTGACAGAAACAGCGTCCGTCGGTTGCCGCGCGCATTCCCAGGGCCAATCAGCAAGCAGAATAGGAAGAAGGGGGTGGAGCTGCCAGCCATGTTCATGCAAGTGGTGTTAAGGCAGTAGCCCTTAGTTTAAGTAGTTGTCCGCCAGCAACGGGAAGACCACATTGAGTTTCTTTCTTAGTTGCGTTTCACTCAAACCGTCACCACGTTGAACTTCACAGAATTTTCGGCCCCCTACCCTAACATGATGGGTACGGCGGATGGCCTTGATCAGGATGTACCTAATAAGTCTGCTTTCATGGAGTTACAGCAACAAGGACTGACCGCCATGCAACATCATGCCCAACCCTACCAGATACGGTCTGCGTACCCTAGCCATCAGGCACCGCAGCATGAAGCAGCTTTCCCCGGCAGCCAGCATGCCAGATCGCTCGGCGGTTATCCCTTCCCAATGAATAATAACCATCTGAATAGTGGTCTTCACAACTCTTACACTCATCCGAGCCATCACTACCTGGGGACATATCCCCCAAATGTGGCTAGCTGTGGTCCCCCATGCCCACCATCACCTAGAGATGGTAAGTACATTTATTCAGTTGAGATGTCAGAAAATGTGAAGTAAATCATATGAACTTCAATTGATTAAAATTTATGTTAATCCTCCAAAGATCGTGATTAAAAATAATGTTAAGTGTCTCGATAACATTCTAAATTCCATTTAAGTCGATAAGTTTATCGTCGTATTTGTATTGCATTTCAACTGTCACATTTAAACATGTAAAAATCTAGCACGTGACTGAAAGTAACGAAAAGAAAAAAAGCAATTATAGGCTTAGCGTGACAATATAGTACTTTTCTATCATATTTTGTAAATATGTGATCAAAATCTTATCTCGCCTTAGCGAATTTCGTTCATAGAATATCGCCAGACATGAGCTTTCATTTTCAATTGCAGTAAGTTTATAACATCAGTAATTATAAAGGATATGTTTATTGTCACGGAGGTAATTTGAACACGCTTCAAGGAATACGCACGGGTCGACGAATTAGGAAGTCAGGCAATTCTTACTGTAAAACTAATGTTATTGAGATATATATAGTTAAGCCTAACTAATTGAATGGGTGAATGACATGTAAATAAGTTGGATAATGTTTAAGAATTATGTTAAATAAAGACTCGTCCAGAAAAGTTTAATATTATAGACAATATATATATATATTTTTTTTTTTTACAAAGGGAGAATATAATATTACTTAGAACCCGTTAAAAAAATTCAAGAATACTGATAAATTAATAACGAATTTGTTATACAGACGTTTCGGCAACATCTTTTCGTGTGATCAGAGGTTTTATATTACCTTGTGTGACACGAGCTGTGTGTATACATGACGCTTCAGTAGACACATCAGTTTATGGTTTTTCACTTCAGATGTATTCTCTTTATGATGTTTATGGCACAAATAATGATTTTCGTATTGAAACCCGTTCTCTGACATAAACATTCTTATTCTTGATACATTGCTTGGACATAATAATGGGTATTTATTGAAATAAGCTCGTCTTTTCACGCGTACTTGAATGCTTGGAAGACCGTGAGTTATTCTTGTATCTTACAAAAGACAACTGAGCAGGCCTGGCATGGCCAGGTGGTTAGGGCCCCGGCACGGCCAGGTGTTTAGGGCGCTCGACTCGCAATCTGCGGGTCGAGGGTTCGAATCCCCGTCCCACCAAACATGCTCGCTCTTTCAGCCGTAGGGGCGTTATAAAGTAAGGGTCAATCTCCTATTCGTTGGTAAAAGAGTAAGTAGCCCAAGAGTTGGCGGTGAGTGGTGATGACTAGCTGTCTTCCCTCTAGTCTTACACTGCTAAATTAGGGACGGCTAGCACAGATAGCCCTCGTGTCGCTTTGCGTGAAATTCAAAACAACCAAACAAGAGACAACTCCACGGGATACAATACTGAGTTTGAAGAACAAGTATTTATACAACCTCGCAAGGAGATGTTGTTTAATATAATTAGCATTGACGTTGTTGATTGGGTGGTTTGAAGTTAAGCACAAAGCAACACAATGGGTTATCTGTGCTCTGCTCCCCAACAGTATCGAAACCCAGATTCTAGTATTGTAAGTTCGCAGACATACCACTGTGCCGCTAGCATTGATTTAAGCAATGTGCTTGCAATAAATATTTGTGAAATAAAATAATAATAAACATGTCTAGATTACCAATTTATTTCAAAAATAATAAATTAACGTAAAGTCAGTTGGTCAATTATCAATAAGTTATGTAAGAGTAAAAACATGGAATGCTATATCTCATAAAAGAAAGGAAAAAAGCTTACCAAAAAAATAAGAAAACTACTTATAAAAATAACTTTAAAAATTCTTGTTTTAATTTGAATTATAACAAAAAATATAACTCTTGACAGCTAATGGTCAGTTAAATAATTTCGAATGCTTTTTTTTATAAGGGATACACATTATAAAAACATTGTTTGCCTTTATATGCTTTCTTTTCACGTATTTAATTGATTGCTATTGTTTTTTTTATTATTCATAATGCTTAGTAAGTAAACAATATTGAATTGAATAACGACATTACATAAGTAAACAATATTGAATTAAATAATGACATTACATAAGTAAACAATATTGAATTAGATAATGACATTACACATTCGTTATTGTTGTATTACGTGATTAAAAAGGCATTTTAAAGTATCAGCGAAATGATTCTTCCTTGATGTTCCGAAGTGGAAAAATATGTATAGTCTGTAATATGTATCATATTCATTGTAATTACAGAATGATTTTGATTGCTGGGGTGATTCAGTTTTTAATATCTTGTAATGATAATAAACTTAAAATAAAGCCTAAAACTCGAGCGCTTTCGAATAGTTGACTATTCTTCTTCAGGAGAACAAGA